CTGAAGAATCGAACCATTCAGCTTTTTACTCGTGCCTTTTCAATTATTTTTGGCGTTTTTGGTGCTGAATATTATATTTATATGTGCTTATGGGTGACCTGGAACAATCGCTGAAGGAATTATCAAGAAATGAGTGTTAGAGGTGAGTGTTTGTATTGGTTTGCCTTGAGATTGTATATTATGTGTGCATCATTGTATAAATCTTGGTCAAGATGACTACAAGAAATAGGACAGGTTTCATATTTTAAAAGAATTTGTAAGCTGCCCACAAAAGGAGAAAGGATAATTTCAACCAGGGATGCACCTTTAATAATTTAACACCAGAATCAAAAGCCCATGTCGAGTTCCAGCCAAAGAGATTTGCTGATCAAATGTCTTTATACTAATTTAATATACTATACAATTCTAAAAGTTGTAAATACTTGAATAGTTTATTTTCAGCAAACAATCACTGAATTGATACAGAACCCAGTAGTGCTGTCACTACTATGACTACTGCTTGATACATGTATATTAAATTTGCCATGAAGTGATTTGAATATTTTTGTTTTTCAGTGTATTGTGTGCAGTTTGACATTTGTCACTGATGTTCTTGAATTCCAAAAGATTTTCAACTACATGTGATATGAATATAGATATAATATTATATTTGCAACCCATGAAATGTATATTTTCTCTGTAGCTGGTACAGTTCAACATAGCACAATTTGATTGAGTAAAAGATTTTCTGAGGGTGCCTCTGGCAGCCACCTTATGGAGGGTGAGTTAGAGGCTAATCCCAAGCCACCCGTCAACATTCCCTCTATAGAAAACTGGAGTTCCCGGAGAAAACCCACAACTTTTGTCAGAGTGTTGACAGCATGACTCTTTTCACATTTAAGTGTCGTTGAAGTGGTGAGAATTGAACCAACAATCTCAGATGTAAAAAGTCCTCGCTCTGACAATTGCACTACCAAAGTCGGTGGCACAATCAGCACACCACCATAGCCCCAGTAGGGTGCAGTGGAACTTGATGGGCTAAGCTGTTAATTTGTGCCAATGTACCTAGCTTGTTGAGAAGTTCAGCTGTGGGTGAGTGCATGGGTCTATAAATAAAAACCCACAAGAGTATTAAATTTGCATAAATATTGCTATAGTTCTAGCTAGATTCCTTTGAATGTAAATACTAGTACTTTATGTTATGAGCAAAATAAATAAAATTCTCAAGACTTTAAATGTTACAGGGGTTGTTGTTTGCATAGCATGTTGATGAGGTATATCTCATTCAGTCAAGTTGTGTAAAACATATGCCCGTTCTAACTTGGCTGAACCAATGACCATATACAGGATTTAGGAACAAGCACAGAAACAACTGGGATAGGTCTTGTTGTTGTCCAAGCACTTTACTGGGACCTACCCTGAGTGACCTGAAATGGTTTCAGGTGAAGAATTTGGGGTGGCTAACCCTGTAGTATATACATGTTTGGATTGTTTAATCCCGAGACCAATTTCCATGACAACAGGGTAAATCATGTAATGTGTGTATATTTAATGTTGACACATATTTTCAGTGAGACCATCAGATGATGTTTGCCACATATTTTTCAAATATCGTTGATTATTAACATGCATCTGAAATCAGCCCAATTGTCCAGTTTTTTAGACACTGTCCTGTAACTAGGTGTCAAATGCATTATATGTGGCCACAGGTAAGTCCAGAGTCTACCCCACTCCTTAGTGTAAACATGGTAGATTTTGGCAATCAAGCTAGGGCAATAGCCTTTATCGGTCAAATGCAAGGTGAAGAACAAAATACACATCAAAGTATAAAACACTGGGTTAGTTTGTGCTTTAGCCTTTAAACTTACTGTCAGCCAGTTACAACAATAGCTAAATGGCCAAAACAGGTTTTATATTATTAAATTTATTAAATGTTCATATATTCACTGATATTTTGTATACTATAAAGCAGTCATGCATGTTTAATATAGGCCTTTTTATTGGTAAAATTTTAGAAACTAAGAAACCTACAATAAAATATTTTCTAGTTATAAATTTTCTCCTCTAGGTAAAAGGTATCATCAGTACAAATAAATAGTAATTTCAACATTCCATATAAATTCAATGTATTATTAAAATATTTATATTAAAATTAAAAGATTCAAGAATAAGACAGTTTCTTTGACTTTGCTTGGTCAGTTTCTCTTTCAAACTGCAAAAAGGCAGTATATTTCATGATGTGCATCCAACACCAGACATATATTTTCAACCAATTGAAATAAATCGTTATTTTTTTTAGAATGTTCAATAATCTCGAGTTCTCTCATGACCAGCAGACTTTCTAATTTCGAGAAGCTGGTCTCCTGAGGAGACCTTTAATTAAAATACCGTTTTCGAGGAAAAATCCTTATTATCAACGCAGTGATAATTTGGACATAAAATCTTTCCCAAATGTACCGCTCGTTAGGCAAGCCTTTCAATTTCATTTATATAGTACAGCAATTTCCTTCTTTGCATTCTCATGTCCGCCATGTTTGTTACAAATTCTGCCAGGCGCCTCGCTTCCCAAGTCCTCCCCAAGCACCCCCGCGCGCTCGCTCAGCCACTGATCTATATAAAAAACCTGTAGTGTTGCTGTTTTTAGTACGTTATTTGCGCCTGGGTACGAGGCTGGCTATTCGGTCAAACGCAACCTGCTGAGCACAACGCGCTGAGTTTCAGCTCGATTGGTTCAATAGTTCGTGAGATATGACAAAATGTTGGAAAAAACTTATTTTTGCACATTGCAGCAAATAGTGCTATTCGGTCAAACGCAACCTGCTGAGCACAACGCGCTGAGTTTCAGCTCGATTGGTTCAATAGATCGTGAGATATGACAAAATGTTGGAAAAAACGTATTTTTGCACATTGCTGCAAATAGTGCTATTCGGTCATGGGCAACCTGCTGAGCACAACGCGCTGAGTTTCAGCTCGATTGGTTCAATAGTTCGTGAGATATGACAAAATGTTGGAAAAAACTTATTTTTGCACATTGCGGCAAATAGTGCTATTCGGTCAAACGCAACCTGCTGAGCACAACGAGCTGAGTAGCAGCTCGATTGGGTCAATAGTTCGTGAGATATGACAAAATGTTGGAAAAAACTTATTTTGCACATTGCTGCAAATAGTGCTATTCGGTCAAACGCAACCTGCTGAGCACAACGCGCTGAGTTTCAGCTCGATTGGTTCAATGGTTCGTGAGATATGACAAAATGTTGGAAAAAACTTATTTTTTCACATTGCAGCAAATAGTGCTATTCGGTCAAACGCAACCTACTGAGCACAACGCGCTGAGTTTCACCTCGATTGGTTCAATAGTTCGTGAGATATGACAAAATGTTGGAAAAAACTTATTTTTGCACAGTGCAGCAAATAGCACTCTATTCGGTCAAACGCAGCCTGCTGAGCACAACGCGCTGAGTTTCAGCTCGATTGGTTCAATAGTTCGTGAGATATGAAAAAATGTTGGAAAAAACTTATTTTTGCACATTGCAGCAAATGGTGCTATTCGGTCAAACGTAACCTGCTGAGCACAACGCGCTGAGTTTCAGCTCGATTGGTTCAATAGTTCGTGG